AACCCAGCCCACAAAATTCCTTCGTGGACCGTGATTCGGAAAATTGGTAATAATTAGATTCCTAAGAGAGAATTCAACCACCACCCCTCTCTCAAAAAGAAAAAACACACACACACCGGATTTTTCACAGAGAATAAGAAGGGAAATGACAAAATAGAGAGAGAAGTATTGTCCTCTATTTGCCTTTGTACTTGTTTTTTGTCTAGAGAAAGAGAGAGAGTGGGGCCAAAAACAAAAACAAAAAAAGAAAAAAAAATTTGGCGCTTTGGTTTTTGGTGGGAGAAAGAGAATGGAAGGAAATGAAAGAGAATAGTGAGAAGAATTGGGGAAATGGGGAGTGCTTTATTTAGAGGGCGGAGCTGCCATTTCGCTCCGGATTGCATGCTTTGTGCTACGTCCGTCGCGTCGACGCGTTTTCTCTTTCCAACCATTGCCCTTCCTCCCTTTCCTCCTCTTTACCCTCCCCAAGGGCCTTCTCGGTATTTCACCTCCCTTCTTCATTTTATTTTTCCTTCCCAGATCAATTTTTCTCATTTTACAACGCCAATTCACTGGAATTCTCATGTAATGCCCGTTTTAGGAACTTTGGAGTTTAAACAAAATTATTTATTCATTCCTTATCTTTCTTAAACTCAAATCCTTTTTGTTTCGGTGTATGCAAAGATTGTAGGTTTGAATCTTCTATTTTCGAATGATGTGATGTGTTTGAAATTAGAGTATGATGATTTCTATGCCAAATGAATTATTGGGAGTTGCGACCGCGAGGTGATTGACACTTTGATTAGATACATAAAGTCAAAAGGCATATTTCGAACTCACTCCCATGAATCTAACCGTCGTCCGGGAAATGCGAGATAAATTCCATAACGCTTGTTTCTTTGTTGATTTTATTACGGGGGAATATTATTTCTTTCGCCATTAATATTTTTCCAATGCTTTTTTTGTATTATTATTATTATTTCTTTTTGTGTAAATGTCTTTCCATTTCACTCTGTATTGGTTTTTGACTGTATTAATTGATCAACATTTATTTATAATTTGAAAATTTTGAAATGTTTCTTCTTGTGCTTCTTGTGATCATATCTTCGTAGGAATAAGTGTGGAACACGTATATTTATACACAAATAAGTCTTCACTCCGTCGTTCATGTGCATGCATGTATACACATGGAAACAATTATATTTTACATGAAAAAAGTTGTATTTTGCGCTTACTTTATTTTATCAATTATTTAATTAATTTTATTTGACAATTCGGCGTAAAGACTGCAGAAGAGTCAGGCCCGAAATTGAAAATGGGCCTGAGGGAGAAGGGCTGCTTTCAGTTGTTCGTGGCCCAAAAGTACAATTTGGGCCGAACCAAGTAGCAGTATCCACAAGTCGCAGCCCAATCGTTGCGTTGCTCATCTGCTGCATTATGGACCAAATTTCTCTCTCTGTCCCTGTTTTTTTAGTCCTCTCTTTTATTTATTTATTTAATTTCAGTTCATCAAGCGTGATGATTTGAACCTTAACCAAATTTTAACAAGTAGAGCTATGGTGAGATTAGTGACAAAATTATAGATTTATAAATTATGACTTAAATTCCACGTGTAATTATATACTTATCATGTTTAAAATTTTCAATTTCATTTCTATAAGCGGGTGAAACGTCACAATGACCATTTTTTACGCACTCGAAAACTCAAATGTTTTCTTACCTTTTTACTTGACCTTAAACTCTAATATACTAAACTAAAACAATCATTCAAATAGAAACATCAACTCATTTTCTACATAAATAGATTAGGTATCATGTAATATATCAAATATGATAATTACTTACAGTAATATAGACGATTCGTCACAACTTATTAAATTATAAGGATTAAATTAAAATTTTTAAAATTGTAGGACCCAATTGTAACAAAGCTCTCAACCCATATAGATGAAATTTAAAATTTTAAAACCATAAAAAAATCAAATTGAAACTAAGCCAAACAATTCACATAGTACCAAATTGATAATTCAATCAATAATAAGATAAATTATTTTAAAAAGTTTACCAAAATTACCAGACTCTATCTATATTACATTGATTTAGGAATATCTGATGCAAGAAACTAAAAACATTACCAAACCATCCTAATGATTTGTATGTACATATACAATGTGAAGGAAAAACAAAAAACAGCTTACACATAAAGTCTAGTCATAGTGCAACCCCTTTTGATGAGCCATCCACGTCAAAACCTAAAATGTTGTCGTGGCATATTCGGATATATAAATGATGACATGTGGGAGCCACGTCATTTACTATACCCAAAATTGGTCAAGATCAATCGACCCATCTTAAACACAATTGCTAACTAACCCATAAAATTTGTGTACTTGGATGGAGGTCCCTACTTAATTTTCTACATTATTTATAATATATTTCCCACTAATAACTTTTTAATTCGATAAAAGATAAATTAGGTTAAAAATTTAATCCCATGACTTTATGGTACCTATTTCATCCTAAATTTCTATTTACAAACATCTCAATTATGTCTCCTTATAACCAAATTTATGATTTTATGTACTTCTCGTAGTTAATACTCTTAAACTAAATGTTCTTTTTTGTAAATCAAAAAACCTAAATGTTTTTTTTTTTAACATTCCGACATATGTTGACTATTTTGGTACAACATGAACACAAACGTAAGAAAAAAAAAGTATAATTAATTAGGTAAAATAGTTGTGACATGATCATATCTATAGGAGAGATCTCATATAAGTTAAAAAAGAATAGTATATGGTAATTTCTCAAAAAAAAAGAGAGAGAGAGAGAAGGGTATATGATAGGTGCCATTAATTAGAATTGTCTAATCCTAAATATATGTATGTAATATTACCATTTAATGACAAAAACTATACATAATCATAATCCAAAAATATAATTGAAATTTTTGTAATGTTTAAAAATTAAATAAGTACAACTATCAAATTTTAGAAACTAAATTTATAACTCAACCTAAATACATTTAATGGTGGTAAATTTTTGGATGAGGCAAGTGGGTTCATTTTCAGCTTGCCGTCCCACTTAATTAAGTGATCGGATCAGCCACTGTAATACAAATCAATTCTTCAAAAAAAAATAATAATAATACAAATCAATTAGGAGAAAATTAAACTAAGCTCCCATAGCACCAGAATTAAAACAAGTATGGAAAAGAAGAAATATGGAGAGAAGATCCAAGGTCTAGCTAGACAAAAACAGATTTGAATATGTAATTCCAACCAATATATATAGAGGAAAATATATTCTTAATCCACTGAAACCTTTTTCTGATTAATTTTCTTGGCCGGTGAGAGATGAGGAACGTAGAAAAAGGGATAAAAAAACAAGATATAATTATTTTGTTATTTCAAAAAGAAAAGGTTAAAACTTTTTTTTACACGGGAGGGCTTGAACGTAACCTGGATCTTGGGTGTCAATACCAAGCCTCTTGCTACTGTGTCAACACTCAAACGTGCTAACTTTCATTTTTTAAAATTTACGAACGTACTCAAAATTGAAAATTTTAGGTCTTATAATTAGATGCATTAAATTTTATGTCTAACAAATTCATCAATTTTAAAATATCAAATATGTTAGGGATTTATTAGCCATACAGTTAAAAGTTTATAATCTATTAGACATTAAAATATTGGGGATCTATTAGACTAAAAAATCTAGAGACACAAACCTAAAAATTTAAACACTAAAATTATAATTTAACAAAAAAAATTAAATAACTGTAAAATGTTTAGTGACAGCGAGAAGAAAGATTTAGGTGATAAGTATTATTCAAAATAAAATAAAATGAAAGTCAATGAGTGGTGGAGGAAGTAGAGAAGCCAAAAATTGGACACGTTGGAGTGCAGCCATGGGGAGAGGAAACTGTGTAAAAAGATTAGACACAGATCAATAAAAAGCAG